AGTATTTAATAGTTACGTTTCGACCGATGAGTGAGAGAGCCGGTTGCCCTATCCCTTTTTTCACATTTTCCTCTCCCTCTTAGATGATCGAGATGGGTAACGTATCTGCAACATCCCTTACGTTGCAGTTGTTCATAGGTGACGGTGATTACCTTCCATCAAGTAGGCTGTCTGCCTGTTTGCCACTTTTAATATAAACTATATATAGTCTCACAACCAATATGTGTACATATGTATACATAAAACCAATATGTACTTATTGAACATTAGTTATTTATCATTCATTAATAATTGTAATAATCTTTTAAATTATTTTATTCTTGTCCGAGTTGGAATTACGAAATATTGAATGAAAACATTTATATAAAAGTACTAAGATCTCTAAATCATACACAATATCCCTAACTACGATGTCGCATCGTCAAACTAGATACATAGATTTTTAAATTTCCATTTATAAACATACGATACTTTCGAATGCAAGGTTCTTGAACAAAGACCTGGAAACGTACCATATTTAGTACGATTTTCTAAGCATTTAGTAAGGATACCGTACAATCTATATTCGTATACCTACATAAAATAATACCGCACTGATAATAATTATTATCTCAAACTTATATTAGAAACGCTATTTAGAAATGTCACAAGTGAATTAAGCTGCTCAGTTGTGCGTAAGAACCATTCGCTCGTTAGATATGGTATATCAAGCAATGGACTGTAAGTTTTATAGTGCTTTGAACATATAGAACTGTCATTGCCAGTTATAAAACCACTTATATGATACGAATTAGTTGCCTAATTAACTTAAAAATACACTGTTATTTATTTATTTTAAATTACTGTTAATTTTATTACCAAGACTTCATTTAATATTAGTTGTATAAAGAATTTATTATAATTCTAAGATACATTTAAAACGTGTTTAATTAGAATGCATATTTTTTAATAAGACTATTTAACTGTAAAATAGTAATTTAACGTTGTCATGTCTAATAGTTTGTAGGTCATTGTCGGATGTCTTTCTAGGGTGTAGGCTAAGTTGATGATTAGCATGCATCGGATCGTAAAGAGAACTGTTCACCAAAGGCCTTTTAAACATTGTTTATTAGCAACTCGCTAAAAGTTACGAACCTTTCAAACAGAGATGTACAACATTTTCTCGTTTCTCGTAGGATAAGCAGATGTTCGGATAAATTCCGGATATTTAAAAAATTTTTATGTCTATAAATTATTTGAGGTATCTTAAATTATGTAAACTTTTCATCAAATATTAAATATTACACGCTTACGTGCTACTCAAGCTAAGTCATTCTTATAAAATGATTATCGAAATTGCTGTCTTCGACCAATGATATAATTATTATTGAAATTTCAATGGATACTTTTGCTCACAATAAAAATGTATTCACCATCTGACTGCTCGTATTTATAACATATTAAAAAAAATATTACGCACATTAAAATTCACAATTAGATGTTCTACTCACTTTTGATTTCCAAAAAACCATATGTATTGTTTTAACACACTTCACGCAAACGAAGTCGCGGGCAAAAACTAATGCACACGTATACACAAATACCGTGATTAAGTATGAGTAAGTATAGGAACATATAAAGTCTCCAAAGTATTACTCCCCTCCCATCTTGTCATAACAGAATTGTATTGACAATAGTTGAATAGCTAGAAATAAAATTAAATAATGATAAAAGATGAGAAGAGAAGTACCATAGTCACCATACACCTTAAAAGGATTGTGAGGTGATGCGAGTCTTCACTCATAGGTAAAACTTAAAATCTAATTTCTTCTTACTTTGAGTTACCGAGTTCACGTCTAAGTTACAGCGCCGGGGGAAACAATGAGGTTTGTTCAGCTTATATAAATTCAACGAAGTCTTTACAGGTTCTACTTTAAAATATAATTTCTTAGAAAACTTCATACTGATGACATTTTTCTGAGTTCATTTACAAAAAAAATAGGTTAATATTAAATACTTAGACATATCTGTTATTGTTTCAAACTCGTGTAGAGATTCCTTTGAATGATTTGTAATTCTTTAATATGTGTTTTAGTTAAATATAACATAAAGTGTTTTTGATATACTAGATAGTTCTATTTATTAATTTATCTCATGTTTTCCCGATGATTCGATTTCTTTTAAGAAACCAAACATAATTTTATTTTAAATGTATACTCGCGGAAATCTTAGATACGAGTATATCATTATTTCCAATTTATTTTTCTCACGATTATTTTAATTTATTTTCCACACGAATTTTCTAAATCCTATGTTTATATATGAGTTATTAATGAGTTACCTAAGAATACAATAATTCTTTAGAATTCATTTCATTTACGCAATGTATAATTTTACACAACAGAAGCTTCTTCGGCAAACAGTAACTAAAACCAAGTTACAACTTTATAAGTCAAAATATATAAATCTCAATAATTTCACATTACATTTAGGTATTAGAGTTGATTTTTTCCAAACTTTTTTCATCTTCCACAGTCAACTAAAAATTTAAGTATAAAATTTGTAGTTTACACACACGCTTATTAAAGACTTTCTTAAGGCATTGAGGTATTTTGGATGAAAATAAATTACGGATCTTCTCGAAAACTTCCCGTGCGATCTGGATTCGGTAAAGTACTCTTTCAAGTAGGATTTTCCGTACAGAACTGTGTGTCCCAGGTATAAATAACATTCAACAACTTCAAGCACCGAGTTTTAAGAAATAACAATGCTAGATGCGACATGGACATTAGACATGAGTTTCACCTTATCTGTGTCCATTCTAATTACCTATATAAGTGTATATAGAAATAAAAAATTACGTCACAAACAAAGCTCGAATCTGTCTCATTCAATTAATATATAATAAAATTTGGGTCACGAATACTTTTTAGATTTTCTGTATATTACAATGTTAAACATAATAAACCAACATTAAATCATGGTTTCCTTACTAAAGATCATAATAATCACAGCTTAATAAAAATCAAGATAATATGAAATTGTTCCTACAAATATATCATTGAAAGCCATCTAATTATAAAGGTCACGAATCATCGATAGGCCATAAGTCAACGATTTGTAATCTTTTGGAGATGATTAACTTTATGAGTCGTATTTAACTCAATAAATATTTTTCAAGACGCAAAAGCGATTCTACACATCAAATAGATTTTGTGACAGATGTTATATTAACTTTACAGTAAATTACACATTCGGGAGTGAAATGAAAACGTTTTACGACGTTCACATTTAACGTGTAAATGATCATTTCAAATGGAATATATTACGGTTACATTAAAAACTGTTTACATTGAATGTTTAACTTTACTTTTAATATGCAACAGAATTTATCTGTGATTTTGCTATCAAAAATCAATAGCAAACACTTAATATTTTTATTTTATTTTCCATGTCCTTTTACCATAATAAAGTTATATGTATAAGAAGTTGTATGATATTTATATAGATTGTATTATAACTATAGATGTAACATTTCATTAATTTAATCATTGAAACCAATATAGCAGATGAGGCTTCCAATATAACCTTTTGGTAACTGACACTTCACAAGATAATAATATTACAACAATTAAGTTTTGCAATGAAATTATGTTGCTTTTCGACATAATTGCTATATTTTCTGATAAGGCCATAAATGTAAATAATAACTACATAAAATTTATATCACAATTTTTATCGTTTTCTTTCAACATTGTAGATAAACCTATGACTAATCTATTGACACAATTTGAGAAATAATAATCTAAAATTTGCTCTCACAAGTACATAGTTACTTTACATAATAATTATTTCAAAGTAATAGTTTAAATTACAACGTAATGAGTGTCTTATTAAAATTTAATTATATATATTATTTTAATCAAAATAAAAATTGTTTTTAAATAATTCCAAAAAATTTTGGGTTATGGAAAAACAATGTCAGTTATGAAGCTTGTAATATGTTTCGTAATTCCCAGGCTCCAATTCCGCCTGTGTTCATCAATGTTAAATATATCATTCATATAATATTTCAATATAAATAAGAGATCAAGTTTTATTTAGATAATTGGTCATAATTATTATCTATCTGAATGTTTTCGCAAAAAACAAGTTTCTAAGACATAAACACACAAAAAAATATTTTATAACTCTGGATAAAGATGACAATTTTGATACATATACTATGCTTGTGGCTTGGTCCTCATGTTAACCTCATTTTAAAAAACGAGTTTAAAAAAAGGTTTTGAAACTAGCATACAAAAAGGAATGGAATGACAAATATTTAATCGAATTGAGATTTTTTTTTAATTCAGTTAAAAAAGAGCCTAAGTTACTGCTCATAATAAAACCTTCTGGCAAGTATCATGTCATCGAAATCGATCTAGTTTTACTGAAGATTAGCTAGAACAAGCACATAGGCCTAAAAATTGTTAAAAGTGTTTTCATACCATTTTAATCAAATGCTTTTAAATTGAATTAACAAACAGACACTTAAATTTTATTTATTTCATTTAATATAAAAGTTATAAATATATGTATAGGCTACGGAGTGTGTAACATAGGGAACTAATTCATTAAATACTAGTTTTTGTCTGCGACTTCATCCGAATGGCCTTCGAAATTAAGTTCAAACTAATAGTCTGCCTCACTTGTTCTTATATACAATACAACTGCTATGTCTTAAGCCTGAGGTGACATAACAAAGTTATATCCTATGTCGTATTCTAAGTCCAATTTAAAACACAGTAAAATTCATCAAAATTACCTTAGTTATTTTTTTAGTGACATACCAACAAACAACCAGACATACACCCTTACATCCTCACAAAACCCGCACATTCATAATATTAGTAGGATTTATAATAACCGAATTTATATCAATAAGTTATCGATATGAGATACCCGGGTCAAAGTGCACCGGCCTTCCAAAATATATTTACGCATTTAGTTATAAAACAAGTGTGGGACACGACGCTAAGATGATGTTTAAATTTATGCTAATCACCATATTTGGCTTCAGCAGTATTGTAAGTATATTTTAAAACAGGCCTTATAATAAATAAAATCATTTCCAATCTTATCAGATTTTACATGTTCCTGGTTTTATGACACTTTAATTTGTGTACTATCCCATTTCATATGCATCAGTACTTGTGTTCATAAAAATACTCGTAACATGACAACAGAATGTCACCTTTGTGTTAGGTTCTAGTTATACAATTCTTTACTGGAAACAAAATACCTCAAAATGATATCAACATGTGGAAAAATCCATTATTATTATATATTTAATTTGAAGCCTTCACAAATAATGGAGGAAATTGGAGCGGACATTTCAAAAGACATCCCAAATGGTTTCTTAATTGATGAGATTCCTAACTCTCCACATTCATGTAACAATATAAAAGAACAATTTCAATTCGGTATATACGAAATCATTCCATTATTTACTTTTCCAAACGAACCTGGGTTTGTCCATTGTCATAATTATTTTAAGGATGTTATTTAATGGAGTGTATTTCAAGAGTTTACGTATTTATATGGGCGATTGGTAGTACCTCCATCAGGTAGACCGACCGCTTGTTTAACCCCCTCGTCATACAAAAAAAAAGTTTCATTATAACCCAATGTAAGTAAATTTTCCAGGTGACTGCTGATCTTAGCGGCGTGGTATCTGGCAACCGCATGGCTGCTGTTCCATTAGGCTGGTCTCTCGGGGAGGGAGAATTGGATATAGAAGGTGTATGCTCCGAACCTGGTATGACGTGCCAGAATTGCTCTCTGGCTGTGACGTGTATATCATTGCCAGTAGGATGGTTGAAGGTAATGAGGATTAAAGATCTTTGAACGTAGAAAAAATATTACTTATCAGTAACAAGTAATTGATCTCTATAATATACTCGTAACACCAAGCTTTTATATTTTGAATATTCTTTTTTGCCTTATTTTTTTTATCTTTTACTGTATCGAAACCTCCAAGAAGTCCTTTATCGGGTTTAATTGCTATGACTTCCTATAATAATTAAAAAAACAATTATCGTTAATTTGTTTTGTTCAGACTCCCAAAGAAAACATTCAATTACTTTGAACTCTTATGATAGTATTAATATAGTAGTATATTAGTAAAGGTTAGTGTGAAAAACACATTTTATATTAATTACTTTACGCCACGAAGAGATACACTCATTAGTAGAAATTTGCATTAAAATCATTAAAAAAAATAGCAATCTTATCTTTGAATAGATATAAAGTAAACAATATGTATTTCCTGTATGTACGCTACAAATAACAAATACTTCAATGATAATAGCAATAATAGTAATAATAACATTCCAGGTTCCCCTCCAGCATTGCCTTGATGGTGAAACTTGCAATGCCCATCTGAAGACATGTTCAAAGGAGGCTGTCCCAGAATGTGATGCTGTGACTTCCAAATACCGTCATACGTGCGAACAGGTTACTATATTATAAGAAAGCTTATAATAGCATTAGACCATATTAACACTTCGTGTTAAATACGGATGGTGATGTACACTAGCTCATAAGCCCGACTTTGTTCATTCTGTTTGATTTATTTATAGTTTTCGTATGTTATAAATAAAGACATTATTGAATACGTGGTTCTTATAAAACGATTGTTTGATGAAACTTTAATAATTTTGGAATGAATGAACATGTCTTTTTTAATCAAGGGACTATCTACCTAAAGAATAATGTAGAAAAAAATCCAACCAGTAGTTCTGCCGTGATGAACTCATAACTGCAGACCTGTATATTTAATTTATTTAGATTCATATTAATATCAATAAGTCAAGTTATCGTGAATAATCTTAGTTTTATTATTTTATGTAATTCAAGTCGTGATCTGTAAGAGACTATTGTTTACAAAAACATTAAAGACGATTTCGTACATCAGACAATCGAAACTGAAATGTCAAGGCGAAGCTTCACAGACAGATAGTGGACTAAATAGAGTACTGAGTAGAAATCTTATATAGTAATAGAAAATAACATACGAGTATGTTATTCGCGAAGATACTTAATTGATAATAGACAATATATTAACTTAGTTTACGACTCCGAGCTCGGTCTTTGTGTGGGGCGACATTAAATAGATTTAGTATTAATCCTATATGTGGCTTAATGGCTTAAATTTAATCAGAAACAACATTTATTCGAGGCTGATTTTAATGAAGTAAATTTATTTATTTCAAGAGTTTATTACGGAAATATTTTGTTATAATACAAGTAACATTTACATTATTACATGGTATTACTATATTTCAGATCGGTATATTCCCGGACGCATTTGACTGTCGTAAGTTCCACCTCTGTTCACCACCTGAAGATCTGCCATACGGTAGACCAGCAGATCATAGGGTAGCTCTTTGTCCGAGACATTACGGATATGATCCAAAGACTGCTCAATGTTCGGTAAGAAATCCACCTTTGCGATCATCCCTTAACATGACCAATATAATATGATCCTTTAAGTCGTTACAAGTAATTAATTTTTAGGTTCCATTGAGAGATGGCCAGTGCAGTAAACGACCAGTTCCAACATGCACCAAAGTGGGTCAAGCGGCAGCTTTGGAGGACAGTCCAAATCACTACTACGTGTGCCTCTCCAAACACGGTCAATTGTACCCTCAAATCTTCATCTGCCCTCACGGATGGTACTTCTGGGACAATTTCTGCCGACCAGAACCAGAGAGGAAAATTAATGCAAAAACTAGCACTACTGAGAAAACGGCTTCAATCGAAACTACGACTAAATTAGAGAGCCCAAAATTTGATTTCTTCTCAACTGAAAAACCTCATACTTATCCTCCGGATACATTTTTAGCTGATAAATTTGATTTAACTAATTACGTTTCCATTGATGACGTTGAACCTCATGACGATGGTTCCTTTTCGTTTGAAAATGGTGACTTTTGGTGATAGACAACAGCTAATAGTATTTATATCATTTAATGATAACTTTTTTTATAGAATATAATACAACTAACGAATACTAGTATGTACGTAGGTATGGTTTTATCTGTGTTAGACTAGAAATGAATATAATTTATGCCAGCTTCCAAAACTTTAAGTTTTATTCTAACAATACCGATCCATATTCGGGTGTATTGAAAAATTTAAAACGGCCATACAAAAATTCAGCCTTTGAGCTCAATTACGGTTCAGCAGTGTTCATCCACTGATTCTACAAAGGATACTTTTATGTGAACTTTGATATCATAACCTGTTAGAGAATTTTGCGGAGTATTTAAACAAATGTTTAAATAATCCTAAATAACAGATACAAGTCAATGGAATTAAAATTTTCAAGTTCAAACAGTTACTTTCTCATGAACTGTACAGACTCCTATACTATATTATAAATATTCTAAGTTTTATGAGAACTTTTTGGTAATAAATCTTTTTTGTATTTAATGGCTGCGTTTTTTCTGATGAGTGAGGGAGCCAGTTACCCTTTCCCTATTCCCATTCATTTCTATCATCTCCTTATTCCCATCCTTTCCTCCTTCCGTAATAATCAAGGTCTACAACATCTCTTATGTTGCAGATGTCCATAGACGCCAGTGACTACTTCCTTGCCACCTTTGACATATAAAATAAAGATAATATGAATATCTAAGCCTGTTTCACATTATATGGTATTTTATTATCGATTTTCCCGTACTCCCGTACTTAACTGTACCTACTGAACCGCGTCTCTCTAATCCCACGTTCAAACAATCACACAATCCTAGACCTTTGTCCCTCTACAGAGACGCTCTTATCACTGAGATCGGATTTGACTGTGGGGCAAAATTTTTTCATCGTATATTTATTATTTTTTCCTCCACTGTAACTAATAATTAATATCTGTTTAAGAAACATCGTATATAAAGCTATGAACACATTAAATATCGGCATTCAAGTCATAATAAAAATAGCGACGAACGTATGTAATATAAAAATGGAAAATTTAATTAATAAAATGTATTGTAAAATACTATATATGGAAGTAATGTGATAACATTGTGTTGTGGTATTTAATACATCTGAAACAAATGTTAAGGAAACTATTTTATATATTGATAAAGTTATTTTAATCGCTTCCTCTTATGACTCACTCCACGCCCTTAACGTTGGGCTGATCACAAGTATAGCTTAAAAATTGTATAGGAAATATTTAACTGTATAGGAAAATAATATTGCCTATGAAATATCCATTTGACAGTCTGTTCAGTGTTACCAGTTCTAAAGAATTCATATTTAATTTAAATAGAATAAATAAATAGATATTTCGTAATAGCCACACAATTTAAGAGCAATACAATTATTTATCTTATAGTTTAAAAATATATGTCAATCGCAAAATGCAATTCAAATAATTACTCAACTGCTCAATAAAATATAAAAACATAACATAAAGAGAAGTAAACATCCAAATATCTGACCCATAATAATAATTAAACTATTCACAAATCAATAAATATAGTAATTAAAAATAATATAAGCAAAGTAGGTATATATCTTATAGCTTACACCGCACGTAACTAACGGTGCACAAAAAACATGTACCTCTGACATTAGACAGTGGAATTGCATCAGGCTTGCAGACGTGGGAAACCTAGCTACATTCAGATATAACATACAATATATATGAAAAATACCATCCCATAACTCACTCGAACACGACGATGTTCATATATCAATAGATGTTTACATTCGATATATGTTTACAATATATTTCTCGTGTAAACATAGAAAAACATATGTAAATTGTAAACAATTCTATATAAACTCTGTACTGTAATAATGCGTGAGGGGAAAACATTTTCTTTCATTCCGATACATTGAAACAGATCGGGGGAATACTAATTAAAAGTTTCTTTAACATAAAGCTCTTTTGTTTTTACGTCACCGCTAACATATTAAAAAAGGGAATTAAAATGTGACATGTATGTTGGCTTTGTACAATTGATGAACTAGTATTTAAATCAGGAGTAGTATTTTTTCTCAATTCAAAAAATACAAGAATCCTACAATTGAATAAGAAAAAACAAAGACCTTTTTTTAATAAATATGTGTTATTTGAAATCTTGTTACTGCTAAGAATTTTAGGTACTCATAGTTCACGAAATAATTAATTTTAAAAGAAGTTATATATGTATACTTTCAAATAATCCTTTGCCTTGTAAACCGTAATTGAATAATTTTATATTTATGCCATCGAAAACTACGTAAGTTTGTTAATATTTTATCAGTACATGCAATAGTAATACTAAATCCATGTTTTAATTAAACATCAAAATGTAATTCCATTTACTTCACAATAGTGTTGTGGCTAACGGTTTTAATGCCCATATAATTAATAACCGAGCGAGCATTTGTCAGCCGAAATGCCAAGTGAATCTAAGCGAATCTATAGACGACCGAAAGATGCGAATAGTTTTGATATTTAACAAGCAAATATGTTTAGTATAAGTTAATGAATACAAAATAAATGGCCACTGAAAATAATGTTTACAAAATGTATTAGACATGCAAGCAGTGACGAATGTTAGACGTTTGTTACGAGCCACGCAATCAAAAATACAACCCATGAATCACTATAGCCTTAATGACTAGCACATAAGAAACATCCTAAAAAAATCGAGAGCAAAATAATAACCGCTAATGAAAGCATCAACAATCATTACTCCCGCCACAATTTAAAGCACACATTTACCGACAAAGCGGTTCGGGCACCTCACTACCATTCATTACATCCGACCGACGCGAATCGCGATGCAGTCGCGACACTAGCCGTTCCAAATTTTAAAAACTTTTCTTTTCAAATTGCCCGCCCTTTTTGACAGGCTGTTCATTTTGCGCGCCATATTTTTTTGTTTTTTTTTTCTGGGCTGTGATTTTTGATTAATCGTATAAGGGTGAGTTGTATTTTATAAAAAGGTTTTACTTGCTATTATTATTCAGTTTTAAATTTAATAATGTTCAGTTTCGCTCGAATACCTTAATGTATCCGAATGAAATGCGCATGTTTCAGCTTGGTAATTACAATTTTATTATAAAATTCCAGCAACGGTTAATTTGCAAAGCAATTTGAGCATGTTTATGTTGTAGTTAGACTATAAATTGTAGTTACGGACAGTTATAATTTATCCTTGCATGTTTTCTGTTTGTACTAGGTTTTTATATTTATAAAAATTTTGCAACGAAAATATAAAATAGAGCTTTTAATATTAATTACTTCTATTTATATTATTTCTATTTATATGACTTACAAGCAAGATACAAGGGAATTATGAGACTAACATCTCGTGTGCAATAAATGAAATTTGCTTGTTTTTTATAATAAGAAGGTCGCATTAAGTAATAATTAGGAATTCAATTTACCTAACCATCGGACCGCATCTTATTCGATCATATATTTCTTTTCTTACTTAACAACTTATATCCTTTATTGTTTCTAATATAAAGTTAATATAACTAAAGTTTCATATGAAACACAAAACAAATAAATCATAGTATAACTTTAGAATTATCCAAAGTTTGTATACTGAGGGTTTTGTTTGGTGAAATTTTAATTATTTAGAACCGCGTCGTCAAGGACGAAAGGGTTTCCATATCCTTTGAAATAAATCATAGAAATGTGAGCCATATACTTTAACATTGTAACGTCAACAAAAAAAATGAAATATTTAATAATTATACACATTCCTGACATATAAAATACCTAGTAAACAATGACAGGTTGTAGTAATAAGCTCCGCCATTTTGTTTTATTGAAGTAGACAAATAAAAAAAACTATTTGTATTTAATTAAAACTAATATTTTTCGGATATACTACCGTGATCACGGTTGCTACAAAGTAACCGAAACGTCGGGAGTATGTAGTTTAAAATCAAAATCGCGTAGTGCATTCGAAAAATATCAGTTTCATTTAAATGAATACTCGCGAAAATCTTAGATCTAATTATTTGTATATAATAATCAAACTATTTATCAACATTACGGTTTAAAAGATTTAACTACAAGTTAATATCTCAGTTTATTAAGTACATTTTTCCTGACCTTACAAATTTAATAATATTGGACTTCGATAAATTACCATCGCCCAGTGAATAGCGAGCCTATAGTAGAGGAATAAATCACACCGGAGAGAATTGACATTATTTCATATTACTTAATATTTTATTCATCCTATTCTTAATAACAAAACAACATATTTTAAGCAAATATTTGTCGATACAAGCGTTACAAACATATTGGATTCTTCTGGATCTGTCTCTTTAAGACAACCTCGTAAAGATATTTGAACACAGTCAATTAAAGGCATGTCATAAAATTAAGGTTTATAATACAAATAAATAGCTTTTAACATCACAATATTAAAATAAACTATAAAACTCAAGTTTAAATATGTTTGAAATTTTGTTGTATTTATATTTTTGATCGTAAACAATTATTGTTTCTGGCAACTTCGTATGAAAATATCGTCTCAACAGAGGAATTTCCATTTAGAAATCCGTATAAAAATCCCAGATGTATAAATATTTTTGTACTTTTCCGTAAAAATATCAATCAGCATAAAGTATTTATTGTAATAAAACGATAAATATGATTTTTAAATTAATTACTCTGTTTATTAAAACGTAAAATGACCGAAGCGGATCTTGAGTTCAGTTACCAGGGCATTTAGAAAGTCCAAATACGTTTTGGGACCTATCAATTATAACTGACAATAATTATCATTTAATTAATCAATAGTATCAATAGGATTTGTTCTGTAATAAACTTGTTATATACATTTTAGTTAAAAGAAAGTTTCTTGTTAAAATGTTGGCTATTTGTATGTGCTTCTTGATTTATGTTTGTAAACTATAATATGGTAACTTTAGTATTAATTTTTTTGACTATTTGATTATATATATAAAGCATCGAA